CCATGAGCAATAAACTATGAAGCCTGATTTCTACTTGACTGATATCTACTGTCCTGCACCCTTATCCAAGTACCTATAGCTTGTCGCTGTCCTCCAGCAGCTTGTGCCAAAAAACCTCCAATCCCTGTCACATTTCCACATCCCCCAGAATTTCCTCCATGTCCCTCAACAAGTGCCTTCCACATTCCCTAAGCTCACCAGCTCACAGCACTGCATGCTCCCTCCCATACTTTCTCCTAATTCCCCAGAGGACAGGAGACACTACCTGCTGTGGCTGGCTCAAGCACATAAGCCCTGATTGACCAGCCAGTATGAACATGCCAATTTGCTAGTTAGTAAGCAAAACAGAAGACAACTGTGGAACTCATCGTGCACCCTCTCCCCTAGAGAAGAAAAGATACAGGCTTATGTTGGTTTGCTCTCTTCCACCCAGAAGGTGATCTGTGTGGAACTTTAAAGAGCTCTTGAAGAAACTTTTGAGATGTCTATGCCACTGCCAAATTTGGCTGAAATCTACTGAAGTTGTTAAAATGGAATTGATAGAGTGATTACACAAGCTTTCTTTCCTTTGGAAAGTAGGCTAAAAACCCATTAACAGTCTTACTTATGTCATCCCTTCATTCCCATTCTTCATTTAAAAATAACAATTCTATTCTACTGCATTAGCTTATGTAACCCACCCCTGAGCCAAAGTAGTTGAAACTTTTGGTCTGCATTTATTAAGTGTGTGTGCCTCTCTATGCATTTCTCCATTTTAAGGTGCACAGTATTATGAAAAATAATGGTAAGAAGATCAGTGAAACCAAAGAAGCCTCACTAATGGCGATCCCCCGAAGTTGCTGAACTGGTATCATTGCAAGCAAGATCTGAACTGCTTTTTCTCTAGCAAGCTGTCAGCTGTTCTCATGGTTACAGATCTAGGAATTTGGAATGACAGGTCACAGTTATGAGAACGAGTAGATTTATTTGGCATGTTTCTATCTAGTTAAATAGCATTCTCCTATGAAGAGGACAAGAGGCTGCTGTACACTGTCATGGTGTTTATTCTCTGTGAAGTCTCTGTCCCAACAAAGAAGGTGCTAACCAGACTTACATATTTCTTAAAATTGCTCACTCACAGAACGAAGACAAAAATATATAACTCTTGCACTCTCTCCATTACTATAAATGGACCACTGGTGCTTTCACTGCAAGATGCAACTGTGTATACACACTTCCCAGATGGCGTGAAGCAAGGGTAGAAAAGTACACTTCCCATTTAAATGCAAGAGAAGGCAGGAATGTTAACTGTTGTCATAGGGTAAAAATCAATTTTGTCAATTGGCTATTTAAAAAATAACCAATAACTTTTTACTAAGTTAACTGCCAAGATTTGTTAAGCTCCAGCTATAGCGTTATGCAAATTACATTAGCACAGCTATGCACAATTGGTTTTCACAGAACCACAAGTTCAGCTAACAGGACAGCAGCAGAAGAGGCTTCTCTCACACTTCCAACTCTTCACTGCTGAAGGGGTCTTCCTCCAGGAAAGCCAGGGCAGTCCAGTTTCCAAAGCCCCTGTTAATTGCTGCAAAATGAAATGCAGAACTTGTGCCGAGGAACTGGAACACCACCCACAGAGCTTCTCCAAAAGGTAGGCCTGCCAGGATGTGACCAGCGTTTGTCGCGGCTGAGCCAGGCTGGGACTGTACTGTAACTGTCAGTCACCAGTCCCCAGGTATTTGCTTGCCCCACCCGGGGCCCCGACACTCCAGGGACATGCCCACATACCGAGCTCAGTAAGAAACAAAAACTTAGCCTTGTCATGATGTGCCAACTCATCCAACCCAGAATGCTCTGTGAAACGCTTAACTGAATCACTCGTGCTCTTGAAGAGCTCTCTGTTTGCCTAGTGAGCTGCCAGGGGGGACCGTCCTCCAAGGGGCACAGGCAGGGACAGCGCTCCCAGGCTTAGCATCTCAGGATTTAAGGCCTAATAACTCCACGGTGGCAAGCCCTGTACACAGAGGAAGGGCTCCAGAGTTTCCCGTCTCTCACACGGGCCTGCACAGGTAGCCTGAGAGCCCACAATACTTCAAAGTCCCAACTGCATCTTGATTTCCAGGTCAACACTCAAGAGGCCTCCAGCCAAGAGGTCTGGGAGAGCCTTCTCCAGCTTAGGTCTCAAGTTCCTGGGTCTACAGATGGAAGCCTTGAAGCCCTGATAACAGGAATATTATCAGAACTTCTGCTCCCGCTGTTGAAGACCTGGGCAAGTTTCCAACGTCCCTGGTAGGCACTGGGGAGTCTGGTAAGCTTGACAGTCCGGCAGTCCTCTGAGCACTGGCCCAAGCTTAGTCATAAGGTGCCAGGCTCCAAATTAATTTCTAACATTTCCAAAGAAAAGTCTAAGGAAATTCCAATACAAGGGAAATTTTAAAATGTCACAATTACCCATGAGTTAGAAAACAGCAAGTTTGGCTGACCTCTAATTTCAATTTCCTTCAGAAAAGTCTCTATCCTTTGTGTTCCACTCTGAGAACAGCCCTCCATTCTAACACACACTTATTCATCCTGCCTCAAGATCAATGAGTAGAAAGGACACATCCTGTAAAGTTGAACCCACAGAGGTTCAAAGCACAGGCTCCTTCTCTGACGTTCTACCTGCTCACTGCTTCAGCAAAGAAACAGCGTCTGTAAGGACCGTGACCGGGCAGCCGAGCGCAGGCATTGCTAGTATCACAGTGTTGTCCGGTACTGAAAGAGGTCAAACACAAGAACAAGCCTGTCCTGGTCACCTCCAGGTACCAGCAAGCACCAGCGATGAAGGGCAGCGGGCCTGACCACAGGGAAAACAGCAGATTCCTGGGATTCGAGCTCTCAGTGGGCAATGCAGCAAGGGAGGGAGGGATGAACTCCATGCGCACGCATCATGCAGATGAAAGATTTGGCCCGTTTAATTTATTAAGAAGCGTCATGAAGTTGGCAATACTCAGTTGTGCTGGTTTAGAGTCCTAGGTGCCAGCCCCAGCTCTGGTTTGCCAACTTGCCACAGAAGCGATAATGAGATAAAGAACATCAGTCAGAAGGCAGGCTCTTGGTGGGCAGTTTGTCGCATCTTCCCCTACGCTGCAGGTACAGAAAAGTAACTTAGCCTTTAAAACCCTGGAATATTTACCAGTTGAGTGAATACTTACTTTACCAATGAGACATTAAAAAAACCCTGCAGCTGCACTAAACTTGGAAAACATGAAAAAACTTTTTCAAAAGTTGGATTCTCATAACACTATTAAAGTTCTCAACTTCCCACGCACCTGAACGAACAGGACATTCTCTCGGAGTTTAAAACATTTATAACATCGCTGTTTTTAGTTTATAAAGTCACTGTTAAAGACAACCTTTTTTACTTTCAAAATTTTATTTTCTTGTAATTAAAAGGTGACAAAAGCCTTTTTCAATTTTGCAGTGCCTAGAAACTTCAAGTAATTTATAAGAAAGGAATACCACTCCCATCCACTTACACTGTATGTTTTAGATACACGTGTCAGGCTACAGGGAAGGATACAGCTCTAATTAATGATTTCGGACTCAATCTTGCATACAATACCAATTACTTCAGAGATGTATTAGCAAAACCTTAGAGGTAGCAAGACTTCTCGCCTGAAGAATCAGTTTTACTTCAGTCCATATTCACAGACAAGTTAACCAGATGACATAATGCCATCTCAGAGTTCTCTGTGTTGCTGAAGTGTTAGCACTAAATTCTTGTTCCCTATTAACCACGCACACAGCCCACTGCAATAGCAGGGATATTGAGTCAAATGATCCTATAGTGCTTTTCCATCTCTAATTTCTATTATTCTGCTACTTTCACAAAATCCCCACTAGCATAGCATATATTTTAGAAAAGAAAGCAAAACAGCAGAAACTGGTGCGTAGGGGAAACAACTACTATCTCAGGATCAAAAGTACAAATTAAATAGTATTATTATTGGTTTCTTGACATGCAATATGACAAAGTACAAAACGTTTTGGTTTTGGTTTGTTTTTTTTTTTTTTTTCTGTTCTAAAACCAGGCCACAAGTCGATGCAAACAAAACTGATACTGTACACAGCATTCTAGCTCCTGTACTATGTGTCCTCTAAAGTAGTAAACCCACAATTACCATGAGAAAAGTCCAGCTGGAGGTATCACCTACAAGTTGCATTACTTCTTGCTCATACATTTTTTCAAAACATATGTTCTGCTTGAAAACAATTCAGTGCCTTTGAGCTGGCAGCAGAACAACAATTTAAGTTGTGGTCTCAATAAGGGTAGAAGGGGCAATTTGCTAAAGCAACATATTTCAGTTACAAAACCCCAAGAAGCATACTATAAGGAGTCACGTACATAGATATTAAAGATCATGACAAAGCATCTAACTATATGCCTTTAAAAGTGCACCTCATGGATGAAAGCTGCCAAATTACAGAGGGGATTTACTGAGAAGAATGTGTTACTGCCAGAATGGACAAAAGCATGCATTCTACCCATTCCAAGCTCCTCCCCAACTCCTGTCATGCTCACAGCAAGAAGCAGATCAAAAAATGACAACCACAGACTCCAGGATTGGAAGAGACAAAAAATACCTGCTGGTAAATGCCTGGAAAAATTTTATTTTGAAGATCTGATACAGGAGACTGGAGAAACAAAAAAAAAAAAAAAAAAAAAACAAACTTACGCACAAAATAGGTCCCCCCATATTCTTGAGACATCAAGCACAATTTCACAGCAGAAAGGAAACAGCGCGCACCTGGCCGAGTTTTACAAGAGCCAACGTGCAGCAGCAGCGTTTTTCAAACAGGCGCAGCAGCCTGTATACCGTCCCGCACCGCTGCTGGCCCCACGGCAGGAGTTTCCCGGAGTTTGCGCGGAGCCGGGTCACGGCAACCTCACTCCAAACGGGAGCGCCAGGGGACCCCGAGGCAGCCGGGGGGGCACCCAGCGCTCCCCCATCCCCCTCCCCCCGCGTCCCCCCTACCTGGTTGGTGTCCTCGCCGTGCTCCAGCTGCACGATGCCCTGGCTCCTGCCCTCCGTGTCGCTCAGCACGTCGTCCTCCGAGTCTTCCAGGAGGGACGAGGAGCCGGTGGAGGAGAGCGAGGAGGTGGAAAGCCTGCGGGACTGCAGATGCAGCGAGCTGCCCGTCCTCAGCCAGCCGCTCTCCGGGGCCGGCGGTTGCGCCTGGGGGCTGCCCTGCGCCTCCTCGTTCTCCTCGGCGGTGACGGTGAGGCGGGGGATGACGGGCGGCAGCACCCCGTTGGGGGGCCGGCAGCCCCGCTTCGCCGGGTCGGGCAGCTGCCGGGCGGCGGCGGCGGCGACGGCGGCGCAGCGAGCCTCGAAGAGGGAGCGGAGCTCCCCCACGCTCAGCCGCTTGGCCCGGCTGAGGTCCGGGCTGCTGTGCAGCCCGGCGCGGGGCTCCATGGCGCGGTCGGCGCCGGGCGCCTGCCGGGGAGCGCCCCAGGGCCGGCGGCCGGGGGCATGCATGGGGGAGCGCCGCGCCGCCGCCGCTGTCGGCGGCGAAACTTCTTTGTGGCTCAGTCTCCGGCCGCTGGCCGCAGCCCGGCGGCGAGGCTCATCTCCAGCCCGCCCTCCGCGGGAAGCTCTGACTCACCTGCGGCCACGGCCGCCGGCGGCTACCGTGCCCGCTGACCCGGCGCCAGGGCCATGGGGGCGCGCTGAGCCCGCCCGCCCCGCTCCGCCCCGGCGCTGAGGGGAGGAGCGCGCGCCGCCGCGGGGAGCCCCAGCCCCTTCCCCGCCGCTTTCTCCTCCGCCCGTTTTAGTTTCGCTTTCCCTGAGGCGGCCCCCGGGGAGCGGCCTCGGGGTGTCCCGGCGGGACTCCGGCTCCGCTCCGCGCCCCTCACCGCCGCCTCCCGCCTTACCTCCAACGGCCGCCGCCTCGCGCCGCCGAACGGCCGCCCGGGCACGGCGGCTGCGCAGCGCGGGAGCGCCCCGGCCGCGCGCGGGCCGTGAGGGGCGGCGCGGACCAACCCAGCTCGGCGCGGGCGGGGGGGGGGGGGGGGTAAAGCGGCTTGGGACGCCCTCCTGGGATTTTCACCCCTCTGCCTCAGGGCTCCCCGCGGCGGGCTGGGGTCCGTGTGTGATCTGTTCCCTCCTCGTCCCGCCTCGGCGGGCGCTGCCCGGTCCCGGTGGCCGGGCTGCCACGGCGGGGACCTCGGCGCACCCCGTCACCCCCCCTCCCCCGGGGGGGACTGGCACTGGCTGGTTGTGGGTGAGCGACCCTCTGAGTGAGGCAGCCCCCCCCCCCCCCCCCCCCGTGCTGTGAGGGGCCCGCGGAGTCAGCCCCACCGCGCGGTGCGTGGGCCGCGCTCCGCGGCGGGCGGCTGTGGGGGGGTGGGGGTTCCCGCCGGCGGCGGGGGTCAGGTTTCACGTCTCGCGTGGAACATCCTCCGGCGGTTTGCGACCAGGCTCGCCTGACTGGGGCGGAGGCTGCAGGGCACAGCCCTCCGCCTGCGAAACCCGAATTTTCCGCCCGTCAGCGCTTTACCTGCTGAGCTGTGCTTAATCAGTGTTCCCTTAAGCCCCGGGTTGCTGAGATACCCCAGCCCCCTTCACGGAATGGATTTACAGCAAATAACACCCCCCGCCTCGGTGCTCCCTGCCTGCTTAACTCCCACTCTTCACCTAAAATGCAACCCAAGCTGGGCTGCAGCGTGTGCTGTAACCGTAGCTACTGAGACCTTTGGAACAGGAAAGGCGTCCTACCGTAGGGTTACATCAGCTGAGATGCTTAGTAAATTAATAATTTTGGAACCGAATGCTGAAGTCTTCAACTTAGTTTTTGCTCATTTATCTCATTGTTTCCTTGTACTCTCCCATCTGTCTCTCGCCATCTGTTGTCTCCTGCCGGGGACTTGGGCTGTGAGCTCCTTGCAACAGGGACCGTGCTCGCCCAGCACGGAACGCGGTGCAGGCCCAGCCGCGGCTGCGACTCCTCGGCCCTCAGATACTTTCGATAATTGGTTAACCTGCCTCGATTCGTTCACATTATTCGTTTGCAGTGGACTGTTGTACAGCCCAATCTAGCAGGCAGTCGTTGAAAAAGCCTGTTTCGACAGGCACCGCACGACATGCCTTCTGAGGCAACTGCCGTGCCGCACACAGAGCCCACAGCTTGCAAATGCCCGGGAGCAGACAGAAAGGCAGCCGGGGAACTTCATAAATAAAAATTCAGGCGTTTTCAGATGCTTTTCTAGAATTAGGTGGTGCCTAGCCAGGAATTTGGATAGTCTGAATTTCCAGCTTAAATGGCCAAGTCTTGTGGTGGATTTAGACCTTTGTGTAGAAGGAGTTGTGGGAGTTCTCCCGAGGAGCTGCCAAGGTGGATGTGGCGGGTGAGGCAGAGGTGACAGCTACCGCCAAATTATGTAAAGGCACTAGCAGCAAAGTGCAGAAGAAGGTGGATGGCAGTGCAGCTTTTCACCAACAGAGAGAAAACCAAGGGAGGGTATTCCTTCATGGTAGACCGTAAGACTGAAAGAAGATACAGTCACCGCTTTTATTGTTAACTTTGTAATTAGTTTCAGATTTTATAGTGCAGAAAGGCAGTGTCAAAACATGAAGACTGATTAGGCCTAATATATACCTAAAGTCATAACAGTTTCATCAAAAGCATGATTTTGTAATTGATGGTTTTATAAGAAGATTCAGAATGATAAATTTATAGTTAGAGCAGAAAACGCAGAGGCCAGTTTTAAATGGGTATCCAAGATGGCACACACACAGTTTGGATCTGTTTAGCTGATCTGTGTAGCTGTGGTGGCTTCCGTCTGCAGACAAGCAAGACAGAAAGAGAGTTTATTCACGGAAGAGAGGTTAAGTGCGAGCTTTGACAGGCCAAACGGGAACTCTTCAGGGAGCCTTGCTGCACATGGAAGGACAGTTGGGTTTCTAGCCTCTTTTAGCCGTTGCTCTGCTGATTCTGCAATTACAGGATTATGTGTGGTCTATGATTAGGAAACCTTATTTAAAAGATTTCCTTATTTAGGAAACCTTAACCTTAGCAGTTGTTCTGAGACCACCAATTCACTCCACAAAAGGCTAAGATTACTTAATAGCTCGGTTATAATTTTAAAGGTTTTAATTGCAACTAGTGGAGATAGAAACAAAATATATGCAATACATTTAATAAATGAATACAGGCATAAAAATAGAAAAATGTCATTTTAGTAATATCAGTTAGTGGTGATTGGTTGGATAAGATTAGACACTTTTAGCTGACTGCTTTTTTATCATATCAGTTTTAGAGAGCTACTGATGTCTGACATTTGTGTAAGATTTAACTCAGAGTCTTTCAACCCTACTAAGAGAATAAAGAGATTCCTCAGTCCATTGGGTAACACCACTTTAACTTGTAAGTGTACAACTGTTTTAATAAAAGGAGTGGTGCTCATCTCCCAGCGAAGTGGTAATGACTTGTACTTTCCACTTGTGAAATCCTGCATATTAATGGTGCTTGGCAAGAGCTGGATCTGATAAGATACAGATATGTGTGTCCCTATTTTACAGATGAGTAAACTGATGTACAGACAGCACACGAGTTGACTACAGACATGCAGTGAGTCAGGGGCAGAAATGGCTGCTTCAGATTTGCTCCCTGCCACTGTAACCACCAGATCACGTTCCCATCTCCAGGGGTGAAGAGTTTTGTTTATCGCAGTCATTCTGATTCATATCAGTAATCGCTTCTCACTGCTGGAGTTTCACATTTCACACACTCCTGCTACAAAAAGAACTTTCTGCCTTTATTTATATTAGAAAAAGAAAAAAAAAAAAAAAAAAAAGAGGACTATTTAATTCCCATGAAATCCCTTTCTAAACATAGTTATCATTAACATATTGTTTATTTTTACTTCCTTTCAGTTTGCATTCCCATTGGGTGTCTAAGTCTTGACAATACGATGGCAAAGAAGATGCTATGGACACTTCTAACAAACATGAAAGATTTCACATAGAAAACAGTTTAAATAGGACCTAGAGGGGAGCCTTGGGTTTAACTTGGCCTTCTTAGCACATACAAAATACTCAGTTGCCCACATGAGACTTCTCAAAGGGCTTAGGGCGTGACAGCTGAGAAAACCATGTCCTTCAATTCCAACCTGAGCATGACCCAAGAAAAGCTGAAAAGTAATTGAGAGTTGCGATTCACCTGTCTCTCTTGGATGCAGGAGATAGAAGCAAGATAACGTTTCTAAGTGGCTATAGTATCTCTTTCAGGATATAACTGGAGGAGAGAAAAAAGATGGGTGCGTTTTCATCTAGGAAGGCCCTTTTTCAGAGCTTGAAGACATGGGCCTGAAAGCTGGTGGGTCCTCAGGGAGATCCCACCTCGCCCCAGGCCTGTCATGGCTGAGGCTGAGGTTCCCCCTGGTGTCTGAAATGAAGATCCCGGCTCCACCCAGAAAACAAAAAAGACAGGCGAGGGGTGAGCTGACTTCCCGGCAGGAGCAGCTCTGCGGCAAGATGGTGCTTCTCCTCCCAGAGAAGGTGGGAGTGGAGCAGGTCGTGGGCTGGTGTAGCTGGCGGGGCAGGCAGCCTCACTGGCCAGCCACCAACTACAAACCAGCCGGGCACCCACCTGGGCACTTGGGTTGCTCTTTCTTTGCTGCTCACTAGATTAAGTGAGCAAGTTAGTGCCTGTTAGAGTCACATCCTCTTTTTCGGTCATAGAGCATAACCAGATCAAATTATCCAGGTGTATAGCTACTGCATGCAAGAGGAGAATGAGACTCCAAACCCAGGTTATATGTTGGGTTATATGCAATTGCTGCAATAAATGGGAGCTCTTTAGTTTTCAGATTAATTTTTTGTAGGTTCTTTGCCAATTTTCTCTGTGCAAGACTTGGACTCTTTTTGATATCAACTCTGGACATCTGCTCAATGAATGCCATATGAAAAAAATATTTAGGGATCTGCTTTTACCTAAGAAGTGGCATAGCTGTAGCTCAGGCAGCAATTTTTAAAATCATACTGTGGCTGGATTATTAAGATATGCAGTGACACAGACAACGCTTCAGCTGTCCCCTGCACTGGATCTCTGGCCCAGAACCTGTGGATCAGCACATGTAGGAATCACTTTTTCCATTCCTCAGCCCTGCTGTGAGCTCAGCTGCTAGTACCCTGTAGTGTTACTCCTGAGCGACCCAGAGGCTATGGAAAGTTGATGACCTGAAAGGGGAATCCAAAGCTGCTAGGGAAACGCAGGAAAGATGCCGTTGGGTTTAAACAGTGCAGTAAAGTTGGATGCAGATTCCAAGCATATGGCAGTTGACTTTAGCAGGAGATACTGGGATTTGAGCAGATCCTCAGCTAGGAGGGAGATGTAGTATTTTGGTGGAAGTGAGCACAGTTGTATAGATCTGTGTATGGATCAGATGAACATGCAGGAAAGAGAAAATAAACTCTGAAGGTCCCCTCGTGGCTGGCATTAAAATTACATTTCCAAGTCATAAGCCTGAATCAAACTATTCAGCTACCTCCCATTCTCAGATGCTAGAGGGGGAGTAAGTGGGGGAGACAACATACCTCAAGCACAGTCAGATGCCACTGGCCCCTGGGAAAAGGGGTTGCAAGTGTTTGAGACCATAAGGTGACAGCCACGACAGTGAGAAAAGACACGAGGATAAGGGCAGGGGGAAGGAAGGTGTGTACACAGCACCCCTGCTGCCAAAATAACTCACCATGGTCTGCTGGTATGTAGAGCGTAGGGTTACTCTACAGAGAGGGGTAGGGAAGTACTATGGAGAGTAAGAGCTACACAGGAGGTGAAGAGAGGGCAGGTCGCAACAGAGGGGAAAATATGTGGGAGAAAACCCACTTTTCTCCCATATCTGCCCCATCTCATGCTGCAGGTAGCTGCTGTTCTTTCTTGTGAAAGTGGAAGAGTAAGGCCCTTTATTCCCACTTCTCTCTCAGCCTGTCACTACTGATTTTCTCCCATATCTGCCCCATCTCATGCTGCAGGTAGCTGCTGTTCTTTCTTGTGAAAGTGGAAGAGTAAGGCCCTTTATTCCCACTTCTCTCTCAGCCTGTCACCACTGCTTTTCTCCCTCGCACTCTTACTGGTGGCCTGAGGCCCAACAGATCCAGGGTAGAGAATCAAATGGGGGTGAAGAAGGGGGTATTCCATGGTGGGAAGCGTGTGCTGAAAGGAGCAGCCAGGTAGCAGCATCACTGGCTGCAGGTTGTTAGTTTGGCGTGTGAATTGTGGGCTCCCTCCTCAAAGTGCCTGCAGCTTCATAAAAGAGAATCTGAGATACTCTCATACTTGTGTTTTGCCTGTACTTGGCTTAAATAAGAGATTCATCTTCCACGACTGTCATTTTAGCAAAAATTCCACACAAAAAATGTCGTAACAAAGCAAGAAGAAGTTTTGCTGTCATGTGTTTGAGATGATTGCAGGTAACACTTCCCCCTAACAACCACGTTCCTCATAGTTCCCCGTGAGCTGACTGTGAGAACTTCAGTATAAAGATTTAACTGAAAGTTAATTACTCCAGTGAAACCACTTATTAACTTTACGCCTTAAGTAAGCACAGTGTTATTTTTGGCTAGCCGTTTGTAGCCCCACAGAACACCAGGACATATTTGCCTGTTCTTACAGTGATGCTTACATTAAAGTCAGTGGATTTACTCCTGGTTTATAATAGTGTAAAGAAGAGCAGGCTGTGTCTCCTTGCGTATACAGACAGACTTTTTGGAAGTTTAATTTCACCTGTTCACCCTGCAATCTGGGTGTGTACTTAAAGAACAAATCACAGTTCTCTATCAGAAGAGACTAAAAGACATCTCAGCAAGAAGCCATTTCACTTTTAAGATGTTTAAAAGTATAAATTATAAAAAAAACCTGCAGATTATGGAGAAACTGAAAGTCTGAAATAACTAGTTTCTATTTTAAAAGAGATTAAAGCAGAATCTAATGTTTTCTACAGAAACCATCACTGGTAGTATTTGTTGAATCTGGCATGGTAGCTGAATTGAAATAGTCTTTTTAATGAAGGATGTTACTACACAAATATGGTCAAAAGTTTATATCCCAACAGTCACAGGCTTTTATTTCCCTTTTCAAGAAGGAGATTTCTGGAAAACTCTTAAAACTTCTCACTGAACAGTTGAATAGCTGGGGGGTGGGGAGGAGGTTTAGTATGTTAAATATTTATTTGTCCACAGAGTTTGCTTTGCTGGTTCATTTGCCAGTGCTGCACTAAAAAACAAATACATCCTGAAAAGTCATAGACACTGTAGTGATATTAATGGTGCCATATGAGTGTATTTTAAGGAAAAGGTAAGCAGGAGTAGTTACTAAGCAATGAGCAAGCAGCTTGGGTTTAATGTAAAGGTCTAGACTGTACTTGTGAAAAATTACTCAGGATGTTTTTTAGAGGTTTTTTTAGGATATATAGGTGCTGTTTGGCATGACCAATCTGTCTATAACAATGCTCTCTTTTTCCTGCCTATGCCCAGCATGCCTGTTGGCACACATTTTCCCAGTTCTGTAGACCAAATCACAGTATGATGAAGAACTTGACAGGGATTTTTAGTCACAAGACTTGGTTATTTGTCCTCTGGAATCATCTGAAATATAGAATAACAATAGAAATACAAGACAGAATAAAAATTAAAATAATTTTCAAGAATGTTCAGGAAACGTTTGGGGCTTTAGTTGTTGTTTCATAAAATTAAATATTTGCGTGCTTTTAGTTTACTTGCCTTTGAGAAGTACTTGCACATGCTTGCTTTACTTGAAGTCACAGGAACAAGTTTATCACTAATAGAAGTGCTTGCTGACTGTCCCTGTCTTCAGAGGGGTTTCACTACCCCTCTGGCGCGTGCCTTCAGCAGCGAGCCTTGCAAAGGAGCACGCCGCAGTAACGGCTTCCTCGGGTCCACCCTACACCTGCCAGGCAGAGGAGCGATGGCTGAAATTCACCCAGAACAGCACAATCGGACTGTGACGCGAGAAGGACGTTTACCAACCGCCCTGCTGACGTCAGCGCCGCCGTGGGACGGCCTGTGCTCCAGTACCACGGACAGCTCCCCCCCCCCCACGGCCCCCGCCACCCGTGGGCTCCTGCCACCCGTGGGCTCCAGCCACCGGCCTTCCACGCAAGCTGTGGGTGCCTCGCTCCGCTAGTGCCGGGCTTTGTAAGGCTGCTGGTACCAAAGCGGGTTTTAAAACCGAGGCGAAGCTTCGTGCCCAGGTGACATCAGTGGTTCTGTCCTCAGAGAACTCGTAGTCTGCCGCCATCCAGAAGCCCCCAGAACTACTGCTGCTAGGGATGCCTCTGGAAAGGGTCCGATGAGATTCTTAACCAGCCAAGCAGTGGTAGCACTGGAGCCATAATGATGCTGCTGACACAAGCGTGACATAACCATCGATGCTGCATAACCAGTCACGATGGACAGGCTATTGCAGCAAATGTTGCAAGAGTAAGCCAGTATAAAAAGTCAATAAAAGAACATGTAAAAGGTATGCTTAGGGTCTGGTTTTCCCAAGCTGCTTCTGTGGTAATGTGCATGAAGTTTTAATTCAATTACCTTTTTTTCATATTATCTTGAAAGTAAAGCAGGTAGTACGCTGAATGGAAAATAATCTCTGGTTTTTGCATTAAAGAAATATTAACTCTCAATTTCTGCTGAAGTAAATCAATAATGGGGACCACGAGAAGGTCTAGCTTCTCTAGGGCCACAGATCTGTCTTTTTATTATTATTTTTTTTATTATTCCCAAAACAGAATATATATTGCTCTGTCTTCTCCTTCAGCCTAGTGGAGAAATTCTGAGATTTCCTGCACCACTGTTCTGATGGGTTTCTTCAATTCCGTACATGAACAAACTACCCAGGACCCTGCTGAAAGAGTTAATGCTGCCATGTCCGTGTGCTGAGCTCATATCTGGCACTTGTCTTGGGTGTTTCCACCATTTCTAAGAGCACAAAGAGTTCTCTTTAGTAACTAAACTGAGATTGCGGATCATTAGCTTGGGCTTCCATCTCTGTTTCACTTTCCAAGACAGCAGACTGCTGGAAAAAGACACTAAAGACAGGATTAAAGCATCCATTTTTCCTCATAGGCAGCTACATTAATATATTATAAGCCAGGGGTGGTCAATCTTTCAGCACATTCTTCTGATTCCTCGGACAGCATAGGTGGCTCAGCAATCAAGCGTTCCTCCAACCTCTTGAACTCATGGTGCTTTCCACTCTTTCCTCTTTTCGATGGGACCAGATGCACAATTTGTCCTAATAAACAGTGATAAACAAAATAGCCCTGAAAAAGTGCTAGGGGAAAAATACTTCATGCTTTTACTGGCATAAAAATTTATTAACACAGTCTTTAACAACATGGGAAAAATACAGCAAAACAAAGAAAAATGTCAAAGGTATTTTACTCATGCATCCAATACACTATTGCCTTAGGGAAGTACAATTTTGCAAGGCTGCATGATGACCAGACAGGAAGCAGAAAAACCCCACACCCTCCTTGCAATTGCAAGAAGACCAAGACCTTTGCTTCCCTACTGGGGTTGTTATCAACTTGAAAAATCTTTGATTTTAGCTTGGGCTTGTTTTGTTTTGTTTTTTAAGGTTGGTAAGGATGACTATTAATTAGTTATTATATTTATTAACTAGAACCTAATGTTTTTGTGGTTTTTTTCTGTGTATCAGTTGGAGGAATAATAAACCCTATTTCACTCATAATGCTATCAAATTACTTGTCAAAGACTTTGAGAAATTGCCTGATGAAGACATAAGCACCTTCAGAAATGGAAACACTGGGCTGAGGTGATACAGGGAGACTGATATGAAGTGTCTAGGTGTTTGTTTGCTGGATTTCATTTTCATTCTAGGAACTGCTTTTCCCCCACAGGCAGTTTTTGATCATTTTCATTAAAACCTTTTCCCTTTGGTACACATGCATATGGATTCCTGGAAAACAATGTTATCTGCAGATTTCATCACATAAATACATCAGCAGAATTTTAGCTGAGATTAATAACAGAGATATTGAGCTGCACTTTACACAGAAAATGCCTAATGGCAGGTTAGATGTTCATACATAACCACGTACCACACCCTGTGTTTCAGACTGTCACCTGAAGATCAAACTCATAAAGGGATATTCAAAGAGATATTCAAATGGATAAATGTCTCCCTGAAACAATAACAGAGATGAATCAAAGCACACAAAATGCCTCTTCAAATGTAGGCAACAGAAAATTAACTGTCTTCATAATTCATTTTTCTATAACACTGAATCATAAAGTTCAGTTGGAGCTTAACGAGATTGCTGATAAATCAAATCCATAATGCCATATTTTCCTGCCCAGTTGAAGGCCAAAAAGAAAAAAAAATAAATAGTAGTCTTTCACCATGGAAGAAGCTAAGCGTAACATGGAAACACGAAGTTCTTGCTGGAGCAGCACGAGGTAATTTCAAGTGTCAGAAGCTGGACAGTCCTCACATCTTAGCAAGTTAGGGGGGAAGGTTTGTGGCAAACTGATGAACAAATTACTGGGACAAGAAAGCCATAAGTGGCCAAGTTGAAACTGAATTCTTATTCCAGGGAAAAAGGAGAATAATCAGAAGGAGAGGAGGAAAAGAGCAGAGGGAGAGAAAGAACAGGCACAAAAGTCTTGAGATACAAGACTTTAGGTCAAAAAACCAGAGTTGAAACACACCCACCATCAAGCACCTCTCCCAGAGCAATCCTCTCTTGCCTGGCCGGCACTGCACCGGCAGATGGCCCCACAGGAACTTGAATGAATAATCCATTACTCACTTCAGAGGCATATGGCGTTTAAATCTGCCTAATTTCCAAGGGTGCTAGCTGCCAAAAGAAAAAGGAAAAAAAAAAAAAAAAACCAAAACAACCGAAAACCAAAACCATCCAAAAGTCTGTCCATAGGAGGCTGGAGTTTGAACAGCTCCAGGTTCAAAAGCATGGCTTAGAATCCAGGTCTTGAGTCCTGGGATGTTTGGATGCAGTATCACGGTTCAGTCTTAAAAACACAAGAGGTGACACACTAGTACAAGGGTGACATTGAATTTACCAGTACAGATAGGAATGTAATATGTGACATACCTGACTTCATCCTTTCAATCTATGCGGCACTTGTAACGTCACAGGATTGCACCCAGCTTTGGGCATCATGCTTCAGGAGAGGTGGAGACCACCTGGAACTGGAGAGGATTCAAAGGAGAGTGTCAAAGACAAACACAAGTTCTGCAAAACATAACCAGTGTGCAAAGCCTGAAAAAAATGGCTTGCAAAGCTGTCTGGTGAAGAGCTTTGTTGCCAGTTGCAGGCAGCAGCTGGCATTGGGCAAGGCCCTGAGTAAAAGTCAGGAATTTTAGCAGGGAGCTAGGATTCTGGTGCCAGGAGCCAGCAAATGAGAGGTAGCAAATCGTGGGACAGACAGTCTCTTAAGGACACTTTCAGGTCCATTTTCTAAAATGTCTAGATTTCTTTGCAGGGGAATTAACAATTACACATATCAGTGGAAAAAAAAAAAAAAAAAAAAACAAACAACAAAAAAACACTAAATGCTGATTTCAACACCTGCAGGAATTCCACCAAAAACTGCTGTAGAAAAGGGGAAGTGCAGTGCATCTGGCATTGCAGGCCTTTGGACAGGGGTAGGTCAAATGAATGTAAGCTTAATTATAGAGCAAAATTCAAGAGACAAGAAGTCCTTAATGAACCACTGTTTATTGCAAAGTTTATTTAGTGAAGTTTATTTAGTGAAGTTTATCACTTCAAGGTGCGGAAGTGTTGGGCTGCAGTCCCCAGGCTTCTTGTTCCAAACAATTTCTGTCCCTTACTGCTGTCCCAAGGATTCTTGCATACTCCAGTAAGAGGATTCAGCTGAAACTTCCCAGTTCTCTTCCAGGTGCAAGGCACTGTGTTTTTCTAATCTCTTATCTATATTGTTGGAGCAAAGCATTTCATGAATACATTCTCATAGATGCTTGAATTACTGCTCAGGTATTTTCCAAGGTCTGTTATTCTCTCCTGCCCGTGACCACCTGAAACCCCCAGGCTGGACAATCCTGAGCTCACAGCCCTTGAGGCATTTGTGCTGGTCAGTGTGCACAGGGGACACCTGTCCCACAGATAAAGGGCTGTGATTTTCCCCAAACTCAACAGCCACAGCAGTCCTACTTTTCTTCTCAGACTAGAGCATTAATCCTGGAAGCGGAAAATTTTGATCCAGTGTCCTCTTTAGCCTTAATTCAAATGTGGAAAGCACTCCACATACATAGCTGTAGCGTAAGCCGTGTTCACTCCTCTGACAGGTTGATGTGGTGGTGTGTAAGCATCCAAAGCAGTTTGCTAAGGCATAACCGTATCAAAAAGTGTTGGCATGTTCTTCAGAGTTCCTGTGTCTCCCACCCTGGAGGAACATCCTGTGGAAGTCTCCACAGTCAGATAGGAACATGAAGTGCTACAGTACAACCCTGTAAAATATTACCAATAACTGAACTGTTCATCCCTTCCTTGCCTTCAGATAGAGATGCACGTGTCGGCTATGCCTTATCCTGAGGGAGAGAGCAGGAAGTATTCATTGATATACTGACTTGTTTATATATTTTACCTTTCAAACACCACAAGAACATTATAATCAACACAGACACCTTCTCCTTCAATGATAAATTTAAATTGTTAATTTTTCCTGCAGGGTGTTGTGTGTGTCCCAGTTATGGACCCTTTTAGGTAGACCTGATTACACCTTTGCCTACAGTGTGCTGATCTGAAAGACAGAAAAACATGCTAAACTCACAAAATCCAAAGTTTACTGAATACAAATTAGGCAACAAATAAAGCAATGCAAACAGGAATTGACATACATGGTCTTTACTAAGGCTACAAGGCTTAAATTTATATAAAGAATTTATAGAACAGTTACATATTAAATAAGGGGTTAAAACAGCTATTTCAGAGCTACTTTTGAAGTATATTATTATGATTTTAGAGAGACCAAATATTCTCATCAAGTCCTAAACCTGCAGTTTGCAGAATGTAGAGGCCAAACCTCTTTCAGATACAAACAAAACCCCAAAACCTGAGTAGAATGAAAAGCCTTGGCAGGGGCTGTAAGAAATGCCTACCACGTAGTGCACGGCCAGCTGCCAGCAGTGAGACGGGGTACTCTTGAGAGTCCCGCGGCGCATAAACCACAGCAACAGGAACTCAGGGAACAAATCCAAATTCTGACACAGTACACAGCTAAGTGGGTGTTTGGCTCTACACAGCAGCAAAGAATGTTACTACAAATAAAAGCATCACTGTGACCCTTTGTTTAAAATTACAAAACCTAAAGGGCTGCACCTGTAACAATCGTTGCTGTGCAGTAAGACCCCCCAAAAAACAAACCCATCATCTCAGCCTTCCCGATAGGAACCTAAAAAACAAGGACCAAAAAATGTACTATTCAGTCACTAAATACCAAAAATCTTCAGGATAGTACTTTATTTATATTATTTTGATTGATTTTTCCCCTGGTTTTGTTCCTTACCTGTGCTGTCTTTCTGGAACAGGATGGACCCAGAATCAATTGTTTAATGTTCAGATATCAGGTGGATTCTCTCCCAGCTTCATTGCTCCCCTTTTTCGTGCTTATCAAAAGCTAGAAGGCTCAAGGGGATCCTTTACCATGTAGGCACAGCTGGGAGCAAGTCTTAACAAACCTCTGGGGGTATACAGATTTTAACCCTGCAGAGAATGTTGACCCCTCATGAGAGATGGTTTCCTGTCTCTATTGGTTTATAATTAACAGGGGCCTCTGAGACTTGATGTTGATGATCCCAAAATTAGCTTTCTCCCTTACCCACTAAACCTATCTGAATGGAAGATGAGTTTATTTTTAGGGGGGAAAACGCAGTCAAAATGTCCTTCACTTTACATTCACATCTCACCTTGTAGTAAATATCTCGCTCATGGAGCAGGTGCTTGAACAACTTTCTCACACGAAAAGCCTTCTTACAATAGTTGCAATACATCCAGCAACAGGCACCTGGCAACAGCCTGTGACTAAGTCAGCATCTGCAGCACCTGCTTGGTGGCCCTTAACTGTGGGAACTTGGCAGGAGTCCATACACGCAGCTCAGGTGAATACTGAAGAAGGAACCTGGGAAAAAAAGGAGAACAATGCAATCAAGTGAGGTGGGACTCGGGATATTAGTCATAGATTTGCAGGTAAAAAGCTTTCCTCATAATTCTGCTAAATCATAGAAAGATGAACCGGAGTATTCCTACCTGGCCTTGGGTACTCGTGCTAAGTTCTGCCCTGAGCTCCCGTAATGGCTGAACGGCCGTTCCTTTGGTGGGACACCGCGAGTGATGCATCATCTCGTTGACAGTGTATCTACAGAGTGGGATGATGGGACTTTTTGAGAAAGCCCTTTCATCTTGCTAAGATTTGGTACATGTCCAAAAGAAGCTACAAGAAGGATCCGGGAGGTAGAAAGTGTTCTAGTAGTTGTGAGCAAAGGAGATGTGTACATGGGTAGTGCTGGCCCGGTGCTGAGCTGGTTCCCTTTCACAGACCTGATCCTGTGATGTATCACTCATTTTTGATCTGCTGACTCATTGGAATTTTAGTCTCAATATACTGATTGAGATTTATGATCACTTGAGCTTTTTCTTTACAAACAGTTCTTACTAGAAGCAGCATTGTGGCTGCACACCTGTATACATTCGATACGCGGTCAAAACTTCCAAGAGGACTTCCTGAAACTTCAGACACTTCTATCAGGCAAATACTCTTCCTGTTTTGGTTATATTTGGTTTACATTGATTTATGTAAGTTATATAATTTAATAACTTTTTGTTTTATAATAAAGCATGACCTAGCATATAGTTCTGGAAGGATGGGAGGTAAAAAGTGCTGTGACAGGGAAAAATCATGCCAGGCCTACACCACAATCAGAGCATTAGTGTCTTTTTTATTTTCCTCTTTCCTTTTTCTTTTCTTGTTCTACCTCTATGACAGACAAGCCAAGAAAACTGGAGATTGTAGAGCTAAAGGCCTTTGACATATTAACAGTCTGAATGCAGAAATAGAATCACCTTCTAGCTGCGAGCTGCGGTTTGCTCAATGAGCAATGACTTGCACAGGTGGTGTTTCCTCATCTTCCCCTTGGTGAGAGGACACCTGTGGAGCAGCAAGCACTTGAAGTTTCATTTCTCATGCCTTTTATTCTGTCCTGCTTTGGGAAGTTCTCTGAACAAGAAACCACTAATCACAGTTTACCTGTTAAGACTCACATTCAAAAACTGTGTGAAAATTTAGGACTGCTTACGGGCGGAATCATCACTTAGAAGTGGAGGAAACGTCTGTTTCAAGGAACAACTGGTCTCCATCACAGACATACACTGATCAACTATCCGATCAGTTACACTTTCATGAAGAAAGTATGATGTCAGGTTTGTGGGAACCTATCTCGAAAGGATGTGTGTGTGGATATCCATGAGAATGAGAAAATTCTCTCTTATTCCTCACTGTTGATAAAAAGAGTTGTAGAAAAGCTGCAAGCTTGACTTTGCAAGATTTTTTGTTTCTCTTCCTTTCCCCGCTTAGTTCCATCTTTTCTCCAAACTGGAACACTCATTAGTATTTGTTAATTCTTGCAATTCTTTAAAAGTCCTGTGAGACAGCTTTATATTAATGTACCAAAGCAGAGCCGAATGGCTTTGTATTTGTTGTTGTCTAATAGCATGTAGCCTGTGTCATGATTTGATGGAACAGCTCCGAGTCTTTTTTTTTAAAACAGATGTTATTGAGAAGCATGAACAAATAGATTAATGTGTTAACTCACTATAGTTTATTATACTAATTAGAAATGAAACATAGCAATGGTCATATCACAGGCGTATAACCATAAATCAGAAGATGAATTATGGCACCTCCTACCCCTTTAAATCCACCCCAGGGCCCAAGCCCCGAGCCCCGCCATGCTGCCTCCACCCCTGCTCCCAACTGCAAGTGCCCACTTTCCTCCCAGGAAAACATCACCCAGAGTCAGCACCCAAAGGAAAGAAGCTCTGCTGGGGTTTCTTCTCCAAGCAAGGCAGGAGGGAGGCTGGCTCAGCTGAGAGCCTTTGTTCTGGACAGTACACTTGTAGGGAAGACAGTACAGGAAATCTCTCTCCCAGGCCATGAAGAGACAGTCATCTTCTTCTTTTCATCATAAAGTTTACAGGTGCCTTACAGTTCTTGTGGGCTGACTAGGAAAAGGTCCAGAACCTCCATCAACTTTTTATTATATTACAGTATCAAGAATGAAATAAGAGTAAGCCCTTTCATCAGCAAACTTGCAATATTGTCCAGTGGAATGAGCCTTGGGGTTGTCCTGGGCAGTAAGCAAGGTGGCACAGTCCCCACTCTTCTCTGGGTAACGGGCAGTCGCTTACACATCAGGAAATATTATAGAGCAGAGCTTTCCACAAACATTGTCTCTTGACAGCTATAGCTAAAAGATACAGCCAATTCAATGCAAATACAAAAGACCTTGCACTTTTGTTCTGCAGACTAGTTTTTTGACCTCAGCCCAAACTTCCATGCCCATCTTTGCAAACTGCAAAAGCTTTTTACAACACATAGCAAGTCGCCATTGTTTTCATTAACTCTGAAACATATTGCAGACTTCTTATGTACTCCTGTGCTACTGCACAGCAGCTCTTGGAGGGGTGTTAGGAAGTATTCTCAAGCTCAGAGAAATGGAAATGCAGTAAATGGGGTTGAGAATTAAAAGATGCCTGCAGGAGAATGTTACAAGATCCTTAATAAGGCAATGTGATTTTTTTTTTCTCTTTTCCAGCCGATATCAACCCGTTATTCTCATTTTCTTAGTGTTGGTAATGCACAGCTTATACTGTTCTTGTGTGACTTGTATGCTTCCTAAAACTGTCCTTATATGTGCACACATGCACACCCATGTCCTCTGCAGGTTCTTTTGTTGAGACCTACAGCAGCTAAACAGCATGACAGCAGCCAGTGGTTCCAGGCAATGTGCTACATAATTTCCTGAACGCAAATGTCAAATCTGAAAGTCCATTGTGAACAGTTGCAGAGATTTTTCTGCATCAATAGATAGCCTTCTGTTACTGACTAGTGCTTGTGTTGAATGAATTAGCCATCCATTTTCTGTCACCACTGTAGGAAGAGTATGTGATCCTGTGTGAAAGAGGAAATAAGAATAGAAAGCCACTCACATTTAACAGCAAGAAACTGGAGGGGAGTGTTAACACTAGAGTGCTGATAGAAAAGACACCTATCAAACTCTGTCAGTATCATTTCTTCAGTTCTCCTAGGCTGGCTGATGGTGCCAGAAAATTAAAGTATCTTTGCTGAAGCATATAGCTCTGGAGGGATCTACCATGTAGAAGCAATTTATGAATCAAATCTTATTCCCCTCTTCCTCTGCATGATCTGGCAAAGAAAGTAGGAGAAGCATGTAGCTGGAGTTGGCTCTGATTCAGGAGAGAGAGAGAGAGAGACTGCATCCCTCTGCATAGTCTTAACTCTGATGGGAGTAATTTCCAGCTTCCTCTGCCTCAGTACAGTTAGAAAGTAAAAAAAGATCCACATGAACTACAGGGTTGCCAGGGTGGCATGAGCAATCCAGTATTGGGAAAGTATTAGGACTGTGGTGACACCAAACATGGTGGTGGTGAGGGTAAGATCCAGAACCATGAATCACTCCGCGTAAAGTCACAAGCTACTTAAAAAAAAAAAAAAAAAGTTCTGCTGTTCTTGCTTGGTTTTCTCACTTTGGATCTGTCCCTGTGCCAAAACTGCCCCATTTATGGAACAGTCAGCCATGTAAGAGCTGCCAGATGTACTGAACTGTAGTCCTGGCTTTGTGTACCATCTGCCATCATGGAGGGATGCAAAGAGCTTCTGCCTTCTCCTGTCACCTTCAGTAATCCTGTCCATCATCATCCTCCTGTCTCATCAGTGTCTCCAGCTGATGTCCAACATATCACTGCATCTTCCCTCTGGAGTAGACCACCCCTGCATCGCACTCCCTGCCCTGGGAGCTCTCTTCACAACCCTCATGATTCAAATCCCATTGCATCCATTTTTCCCAGTCTCTTTTTCCCTCTCCCTTGGCCATGCTGCTGGTAGCAATGGCTGTACAGAATGGCAATTGCAGTGTGATCAAGTTATTTTGTCACTGTCCTTTTCTCTGTAATGAGAATCCGTGAGCTGGCTTTGATCCAAGATTAGCCTGCCAGCCTTTGTACATTTGCAGATATAGCTGACAGGAGCTAAGTGCATTTGAGACTTTCGAGTTAGCTCCTGAGAGACTGACATCCCCTAAAGGTAGTGTTAATACTCACAATTATTTTCTAAGTCTTGCTACAATTAATATGGTCACAAATTTTAAATGTGACTAGGCAATAGATTTTCAACAAAAATGAGGCAAGTCTCATATTTAATATAACAGCATTTATAGACCCCTCAGTGATCTAAAACCTTGGAATATAAGAAGTGGATAATGGTTTGAGTTGCTTCTCCCACATGCTTCATTGCTCCCCTCACCACAACTGTACAATTTATTTGCCTTCAATCTCCTGTGAGGTGAGAAAGCAACAGGTAGAACAAACACATTATCTGAGGTTACCCAGCTCCACCAAAGTGCCATGTTCAGGTAAGTCCCAGGGGCTCGTGGCCCCCAGCAGGCACAAATGGGGAAAGTCCAAACTCCCACCTGCGCTGACAGTCAGTTGACTGGGTGGTAAGTGCTTTTGGAGAATAGATGAGAGTCACCTTTCCACTGAGATTTTAGAATCTGCACCACTCCAGTTGTACAGTTTAGAAGGTACCTCTAACTACTTCTCTAAAAAAAGATATCTTTTTTCAGACCTTCCCTCTTAAATCAGATCATAACACTCGCAAAGGTGGTGAAAAAGAGTTTGTAAAGTCACCACGAACAGCAGACCTGCTCATCAGAAGATTTTGAAGATATATAAGGGAAACCCTGGCTGGATTGCTGCCAATGATACTGCTTGAGGGATGATGCTGGTGGGCTGTGGTGAGAGCACTGCTGGAAGGGAATATAATCAGGCATCAAGTTCTGTGTCGTGCAGCTTCAAGCATCTGAAGTTATTTGCTCCTTTCCTACAGGATTCATGATTGAGGCTATTGCAGACAAAGAGTGGTTTGACTCTAAAGCAGATTATTTATTGCTTTGTATGTCTTTTGCTAATAAAAAATTAAAATAATTTCTATTAAAAAAATGTTGTTCTAAAAATATTCATTGTGAAAACCAACATTCTCCATCCTTCCTCTATCTCTTACCAACACACCAAAATCTATCATTTATCAACAGTCTTCATGAAACAAACGTATGCCATTAATGATCAATAGGAAGACAGTAATTTTGTATAGATAAAGTACTGTACAGTACGACAAATCATGGCAGGGATTTGTTATAAGAGTGCTTAGAATGATAAACCATGTCTCCAAACACCAATAAAATCTCTGCAGTCACCAATCCATCTATCAGGAACCTGTGAGGACAAGTTCAGCCCATTTTGTACAAAGGAAACTGTTCTTTGTTTAACCTACATTAATCATTCAGGGAAAAATAATCTTCGTATTTCATAGTATAGTTGAACAAGAAAAAATCCATTTGGTACAATTTTTTGATCTTCTCAATTTGTTCTGAATTCAATTGTCTAAGATACTCCAAGGTAATATCACCATTAGTTCGTTTCTCTGAGCCATACCTCTTCAAGCTGGGGTAGTGCAGGCTCTCTGGTGCTCCAATGACCTTCAGAACATGCTCAGAATCTAACCCAAGAGTTTCATACTTACCCAGAATATCATAGTGAATGTTGCACGGATCACAGAGCAGAAACATTGGTTTCCAGTGAATGTCAAGAGTATTTGGCGGTTTTGCTATAATGAAGTTGACAAACTCCTGGAAACTCACTTTTTCAGATGAATTTTTGTTTTTCCTGAACATTGCCCTAATCTGATTAGCGACAGTGATACTGTAGAATGGCTCAGAGTGCAGAAGTTTGTCTCTGTAAGCTGAAACCAGCCTTTCTAAAGGATGTCTGGTGAACATCACTTTGGTGTAATTGTTCAGAAATTCCTTCTGTATGGCAGGCGGGTAAGTCACCAGCTTTTTGATCAGTGAGGTTTGGTGGATGTGGTCGTGTTCAATTTCCGAAGCTTCTGCATTCAAGTCTGCTTGGAGAAGAAAAATAGTTCTCTTCCAGTTGGAGCAGCCTACCTTGGGCACCTCACAGTACATAAATTTATGTTTGTGCTCCACAAAGAGCTGGTTTGCAACATGAGAATCCAATTTGCTTCTTAATTTAAGAAGATTGTTCTTCAGGCAGACAGAAACCAGTGTGCTTTTGCGATCATTTTGAATTGCAAGCCAATCTTCAGTGGGATCTGGAAAAGCACCTGCAATCAAGGAAGACATTGAAACCATTAGTGTGAAATAGTTTTATATAAAGTCTCTTTCTTTGTGACAATCATAGCACTCAACCTATCTCCCTGCATGCAAAAATGAATGAAGATGCTAAAATCAATTTTTTGTTTACTGTCACCAGACTCCACTATGGCAAACATGCAATAAATTATCCTGCTTAGTGAGAAGTTTGTTAAAACTTTCAACATGCTAGCAATATTACTCTAAGCAAGATCGATGTTCTAACACTTTTGTTGTGATTTAACCCCAGCCAGCAACTAGGCACCACACAGCCGCTCGTTCACTCCTCCCCCGTCCCCCCGGTGGGATGGGGAGGAGAACTGGAAACAAGTAAAACTTGTGGGTTGAGATAAAAGCAGTTTAATAATTGAAATATAATAATAATAATAATAACAATGGAAGATAACAAAAAGAGAGTTAAATAAAACCGAAGAAAGACAAGTGATGCACAGTGCAATTGCTCACCACCCACTGACTGATGCTCAGCCAGTTCCTGAGCAGTGATCTGCCCCTCCCGGCCAACTCCCCCCACTTTATATACTGGTCATGACATCATACGGTATGGAATATTCCTTTGGCCAGTTGGGGTCAGCTGTCTTGGCTGTGTCTCCCTCCCAACTTCTTGTGCCCCTTCAGCCTTCTTGCTGACTAGGCATGAGAAGCTGAAAAATCCTTGACTAGTATAAACATTACTTAGCAACAGCTAAAAACATCAGTGTGTTATCAATATTATTCTCATACTAAATCCAAAACACAACAGTATACCAGCTACTAGGAAGAAAATTAACTCTATCCCAGCTGACACCAGGACACACTTCTAATTTCAACTGTTTTTTATAGTGTTCTTCCTCTTGTACATTGCTAGGATAGCTATCATAGTGACAGGACCTTGGGTGTTTTCATAGTATTGTTTATCCCTTAGGCTCCACAGTTACTTTCTAATACATTTGGGAAAGGTGTCCCTGGTTCTAGAAAACACTGAGTCTTTCTGTTGGTAAATTCTTTACTCACCTGTTAGGGGTTTTTGTCTTTTACAGAAAAACCCAAAAAGAAATATCCCAAAAATAAAATTTGGGAGAAGGAAAACTAACACCTTCTGGTTCATATTATTTTCACAGGAAGGAGGATGACGTGATCTCTAAAGTGGAAATCTGCCTTTCTGTAAACAAGGAAAGATAATATAAGTTAGTTTTTGTATGACTGATATAACTAAGATAACATGGTATTCTCTTACAGAATTTACAGTAGCAGAAAGACCTTTCAAGCCCTATAAAAATCAGGCTTTGCTAATGAGTAAAAGTTCTCCTATAAAAAAGACTCATCACAAATATACTGTTAAACCAGACAGACAAATAATAAGACCATTTTAAAGTATTACAAAATTCTCCCCCTTTCTCATAAAAATGAGCTGTGTATGAGCAAATATGCCCCCGTTCTCATTTAAAGCTGGTGTTCCTGACAAACAAGCTCTCTATCCTTTCCCATTATGTAACAATAACCTCATTTAGGATTAGAGAGATCTATTTTTTTAAATAACTTTACTTGTTGCAGTCTGGGAGTACAAGGTTTTCTGCAAACTGCACATCCACAAACCTGTGATGCATTCAGCATGAGATTCTTCCCATCTCTTGCCCTGAAGCTTTCAACTTTGTACACATAAATCAATATTGACTGCAGGAGAAACTCTTCCACATTCCAGCAGAGAATCCTAACTACTAACAATAGATGAATTCTCCCATTCACTCTCTCCCAAAGACACTAGTGTATATATGTTTGCTGCCATTGCTGCTGCAGCATAGGTTCCCCAGAATGGTTCGCTATGGCAGGAAGCATATAGAAGCAGCAGAAGAAACAACAGAAAAGGAGAAGTTCCTTGTTTACAGCCAAAAGGATTGGAGGCCAAGGCAGTCCAATGCCCAATGTATTCCCTTTCCTGTGCTCACTCATTCTGTCCCCTTGCACTTTGTGGAGAGAGAACTCTAAGTCCTCTGTACAATCTTACTGGGTTGCCCCCATGAGAAAGCTCTTCATCAGCATGCTTTTCATCACTTTTCATTTGAAGTAGCAAAATTCAGTGCAAAACCATAACTACTGACAAACATGGCATTCTATTTCTGTCTCATAAAGTCTGCACCATCAAAAGAGTCAAGCAACACTCTCTTCTTTTTCTGATTTTCAATTTTTCACCCTGAACCTGCTGGCAATAAAAACATAATTGCTTGGATTTCTTGACCTTGTAACTTCAACATTGTTTTGTTTTGTTTTCACAAGGATACAATAGAACCACTCTGGAAGTTATTACCTGGTACCCCCCGCCCCCCAGTGTGGATGTACATAAACCCCAGCTGCCATAATGGAAACTGTTTTCCTGAATACTCTGAGATGGCAGTAGAGTCAGCACTAGTTAAATTACTGAAAATATACTTGCACACAAGGCTTCTTCCTTTCAGGGCTGACAGGTGATTATCTCACACATCTTTATCAGAATATCTTCAAACTCATACAGTTAACAGCATTACTAATTATTAAATCTCTCTTAGCATAGACATGACTGAGGAATGGAGAGGGATGACTGTTTACTATCTCTGACCTGTAAATATCATTATGAACAAATCTGCAGTCACATATGTTAACAATTCACTGGTGTTTACATTAAATTGTTACAATACTCATTCAAATGAATGTGGTATTTCTACACACGGTGGCATTTAGCCAGTATTTTTGCATTTTCTTGGCTGCATAAGGCCATTGTAAAGGCTAAAGAAAAAATATGGGTTGATCTTTGGCATTTAACCAAATTCACTGCACGTCAATTCTTCCTTCACTGTGCTATCTATTGACTTCTAATGCATCAAAACCTGTTTTCAAAGCCAGCTAAAATCAGTCAGATTGGTCACTGATCTCATGAGGTCCAAGACTGAGTGCTCCCTTTTTATTCTTTTTCAGAAGTGGTTCGAAGACACAGTTTCACACTGTGTAACAATTAAAATACATATGGCACTAAATATTTCTGTACAGGGACTCCTTGTTAGAGTATGCTTAGGAGAAAGAGGTTGGGCTTCCTTTACCTTAAATGCTGTCACCTCAGGGTAGTTATTGTTATCATATCTGTCTCAGGAATCAGAAAATGAACTAGATTAGTTTACCCTATTTAGATACTTGTATCATATATATTTGTTAATTAAATTACTGGTACAGAATATAAGGTCTGCTATAAGACACATTTCATGTTGAAACATGTCAGTGAGTCACCAGAGGGAAACTTGCCTCCTTGAGGGAAAGAAGCTGTTTATGAGCCAGTCAAACACAGGAGGCAACTCGTCCTCTAAGACGTGCATGTTTGTGGAAGCAAAAGAATCCTTATTTTAATTCAGGAGGATGGTCGGACCATAAGGAGGGATAGAACAACCTCCAAGGTGACAGGTAAAATCTGTCTGAGCCCTTTAAAAAACTTCAAAGTGCAGGCTAGCTGTGAGAGCTAAAACCATCCATCAACGAGTGAGGTCAGCATGATGATTTGGAGAAACTACCTGAAAGTGAAGTCCGAAGGCTTCTTCTGAAGATGTTTTGTGATGGAAGACCCCGGTATGGAGTTTTGTGTAAAGCAAGGTCTCCAGCGATGAAAATCACTTAAGAGAAACCTGAGGAATTGGAGGAAAGAAAATTCTGAGAGCCATTTTGTCAGAAAGAGGAACAATTCCCCTGGAAATAAAAAAAAAAGGGGGGGGGGGAAATTCCTAAAATCCCCCACTTTTGTGATACATTCAGTGTCAGTAGATCAGATTAACTTTTTCTTCTAGCTCTTCACTTATGTCTTTTCCAGATATTTGTAATTGTGTTGTCTATTTTAGATTTAATGAATTAATACTTCTATTTACATTTTACCTCATCCTACCTTGAATTAAATGTGATTTAAGGTGACTGGGTAACTACAAGGCATTCCTCAGTCAAGGTGTGGTGAGTCTATTAACACAACAACTCCATAATAAATAGTCTAGTTCTGTAAACAAAGGGCAGCAGAATGGGCTTCCACAGGCAAGGTGGAAAGAGAGTACTATAGGACTCCAAAAAAAAAAAAAAAAGGCGTGTCTTATAGTGAAAACACAGATCTAAATGTCTCTTTGGAACTAACATATCCCCAAAGAGAAGAGAAAATACTAAAAACCAAGTACAGGACATTAATCTCTTTTGTTCTCATTACGCATAGTTGTGGGGGTTTTGTGGATTTTGTTTGTTTGTTTTAATGAAGCATAAAAACTCCTAGATAACAGCCTCACACTGCACTGTTGGTTTCTGCTTGTTCTTCAGATCACATCTTTATAGATCAACAACATGTAGCTATGGCTTAATATTTTCAACTCTGCATGTGTTACTGGATTCAGTAGATTTAATCAGAAAACATTTTTTGACTCTTTCTTGGACATTACTAAACAGTAAACCAGGCAGTAAGAGAAATGATCCTCATAGAACCCTTTCCCGCAGAACCTTTTTGGAAAGATTTTTATCAGATGAGATATTTTGAGGCCTGTCAGTTAGCTAGTGTTTATTTCCTTCAATGTGGGTCCAACTGTTTTGATAGTTTTCTATCTTCTTAACCAAAACATGCTGTAGTATCAAGTTGAATGCTTTATATAATTCTAAATCCACTATATCAATGTTATTAACTTAATCAACTAAATCCAAACAAAAATAGTAAATCAGTTTGGTGAGATCCATTTCCTGTAACACAATCCATAGTTTCCATGTGAGAACAACCAGAGCAATTGCTCAAGCCAAGAATGGTAGCAAGTGGGGAACAAATTATTGGAGAAAACAATGTCAATCAACTCATGTGCATACAAGATGGGGAAAAGTCCTGAAGCCCTCATAAAATGAGAAATATTTATTGAATTTGCACTACTGATAATTCTACCATCTCCCTCTACTGATCCATTGTGAAGAATCTTCCCAATATATACTCTCCTCATAACAAACCTAAAAATAGTTGCATCATGTTCATATCTTTGTTCTCAAGTTTGCTGACCATAAAGTATTTTTTCCATCCTTGTGTTTCCTTCAAGAAATTTAGGACAATCTTCTGCTTTTTAATTGCTTTCAACATCCCCCTTTTCTCTATGCTACACTGGGTATGGAGGAGTGACTGGCAGCCTACTTGCACATCCCCTGCACGTCAGGCTAGATCATTTGACCCAGAAGAGCGCTCTGTCTCAATGATGAGATTGTACTTTTCCAGGGCTCTCACAAAATTGTCATATGCCCAATTTATCTGATAATTTTTCTGTTAAATCACTTTCTCTTGGTTCATTTGTCTCATACTTGCTTTCCATTTTGTGATACTAGACCATTGCAACCATTCTGTACGTCTGTCACAGTCTGGACTTCAACTGTTTGTACCATATGTAGCTACACCACAACCACTCACACTTATCCAACCACCAACATTGGTTTTTTAATGAGTTCCTTTTCCCCTGACCAAAACAAAGTCTGATACAGAATCTCTAGTACTCTTTCGATTAGGAAATATTTAGACAGTCCAAAGACATTTTAATGATAAAGTCATGTGAGTACATGACCTAGCACATCACACTCAGATTGAAGTTCTCCCTCCTGCCATGCAGGTTTATTCTTGGTACGGGCACCGAAGGAGTAGATTGTGTTGCCTTGAACTGGTATCACCAGTACATTGCTCTGTCCTTGAACTGCTGAAACAGTGATTCATAATATAGCATTCCCTAATCCCTCTCCTGGAAGTGCTGAACCATTGCAATTGAAAAAGCTGCATTTTTTAAAGAAGTATTAAAAAATCAGTCTGAAAACCCCCAGTATTTTGATACTTTTATAAACAATTAGAAGTCCTATAACTGGAAATGTTGAATAATGCTAAATCTTTATGTATGGCACCTATTACCCAAGTACAGAAATATGAGTACACACACTCATGTGTGTGTGTATATATGTATATCTAGTTCTGAACTATATGTATGTGTACCTATATATACACATACATACATGTAGTTCAGAAACACATTAATATCAGTTATACTGGCACATTATTTGCTCCAAGTAAACTAAGTAGGTTGATAAAGATTTAAAGTCTCCTGGTGATAAACTTACAAAGGTGTGTCTCAAGCTAATTTTTCACAAAGACAGACCTTGGTCACAGTTGAGTATATGGGGTCATCCTCTGTACCCTACTTGATGATAAATGGGATTTACCGGATTAAAAGAATTAAATTACAATAATACTTATTTGTGTTCCTGATACATTTGAAGCCAAAAATAAAAAAAATACCAGTGGGGCAGTTCAGTGGATGGTAAGGAAAATCTCTGGAAACAGATAACATTCTCAGTCACTAAGCCCCATTCTGTACTTAAGCCTTGTTAATCCCTTCAAAAAGACAACTGTAAATACATACATACTGATATGTACGTGGGTACATAAAAGGTGAAGAGGGGATGACGTGTAGAAACACCCCAAGAACAGCCAGAATAAAAAACTAACAGGAAAAACAAACTTTGCTGAACACAGTTCTGAGTGTGCTGCTCTAACAGGGTGAGTTGCACCTTTAGAAGCAAGACCCTTGCTCACCCAAATCTGCAGTGCCCTCGTTCCTGTTCAACTCGCTAGGGACAGACAGGAGGGAGGGAGACCTAAGAAACTGGAGTCTCAGCAGGCAGGCTGGCCTGCTCCATGAATGGAAAATCATTAGTGGATTAGGAACCTCCAGCAGGCTGCAGACAGCCGAGGGCTAGAAGAACCATCTGATCTGGGTCACTTTGCCAACAGGAGCCAGGGTGTGACATCATCTCACTCGCAGCAGCAAGGGCTGAGAGGTGTTATGCGGGAACGGGTACAAGCTCAGCAGGGAGACAATGTATGAGCTAGGGTGGGGGCTACTGAGGAAGAGGATGACAGCAGTGCCCTACAGAATAGCACACTTCACAGCAGTGAGGTGGGTACAAAGTCATAATTTCCAAAACAGGTACAAGCGAAAACTCTTGTTCCCTGCAGTAGTTACCTTAGCCCTCCGTCACTGCATCAGATTTCTTTCTGGTCTCAGCAACTGCAGTGCTACCTTTGTCATTGCCATCATTAAACTGCTTGCTATTCTCATTACACAACCTTCTCACGCCTGTCTTTTCACTTCTCCTTCTCTGCTTCATCCCATGTTATTTCCCTGTCTTGCCTTCCAAGGTTTTTCTCTTTACCTGTCATTTCTCATGCAGTATTAAAAGCTCAACTGTACTTTCTGATCAGTCATATTGCTAGTCCCTGCTACCATTAGCCCCTGATAACAAACAAATAGCTTCTGCTTTCTCTTTTGCTGCCCCCCTTCTTGGAAGAAGTTTCTGAAGCACCTACAGAGCTATTACATTTTTCACCTAAAATCCTTCCTTAAAATCTTCCCTTTCAGGGTTGCCAATGCCAGTTAGGCTGCCAGTGTGCTAAAACTGTTACCAACCAGCCCACAAAAGAGCAAGCAAAAGGAAGAGCCAATTTGGGGATGAAAAGAACCAAAGCGAAGAGGAAAAAAAAGAAGGGTACATGGGAAAAGGCAGCACAGAGCCTAACAGAAAAACTCCCAGAGAGGCAGGGAGCAACAACCTGAGGAAAAGTGGCAGAGCTGGGGCCATGGGAAACAGAAAGACTGTTTAGCTTGCTCAGATGATGCTGTGGGAAAGGGAGGTTGAGGATAGGAGTGGAAAAGACGTAAAGTATAATTCAGTAAAGATGGACAAGAACAAATTCAAGAAAATTAGTATAGAAAGGAATACGCAAAACTATCCAATAAATTACAACAGATATTTAAAGAGGAATGAGATTAAATGTACTGCAGTCACTCACGCAGTGGAATCCAACCTTTAGTATGTGATCAAACTTGTCTCTGTTTCCTTCCTGTAGTTGTAGTCAGAAAGATCACGGGCTTTTGATTTTGTAAGGATGGCCACATTCCCTTGATTTTGCCAGGGAGCAGTGAGAGACAGCTCTTCCCTTCGGGATGGGGAGCTGGGATCCAAGTGCAGTAACCACATGGCCAGGCTGGCAGGAGCCTCACCAGCCTGGATCCATCCTTCACCCCTGAAGGGTGAAGACCTGGAGATGGTGGCCAGGTTCAGCCAAGAGACCAGATCATCAGGCAGAGCCATGGTTGCATCGGCTCGTGGGTGGGCCCAGCTCAGCTGGGCCAGAGACCGGCCCTGCAGTGGCATTGCTGAGGCGGGGACCAATGGCCCTGGGGGGCTGACATGGGGTCTTGGGCTGTGGGCAGGGAGGGGGAAGCCCCAGGGGGCTGAGCAGGGACAGTGGTTGCCCTGTTAGTGCTTTTGGGGAGTGACAGATAATATGAGAACAAAGTCCACCCCACTTTGCTTGGTTACCTGGCAATGGGCTGTGAGCCCTTCTATCTAAACATTTGATTAAAAATCCCATGCTGTCCTGGGTTTGAGTGAATGGTGGGGGTTTTGGGTAGCGGGGGAGGGGGCTACAGCAGTGGCCCCCTGTGAGAAGCTTCTCGAAGCTCCCCCAGCTCCATGTCAGCTCCACTTCTGTTTGGGAAATTGAGCCAATCAGCTGCACCTCTGTGATAACGTATTTAAGAAGGGACGTGGTGATGGGCAGTGGGACTTGTGAGGAGGAGTT